ACTTCAATGTGTTAATAAAACGTAGCAATGAGAAAATATAAAAATTTCAAATTTTTCATAATAATACAAATTTTGACTGGAGTAGAATTTGATCACGATCTCTCTTTGTATCTGCCGACATATTTCGATCTGTGATTCAGATAATTTCTATTAATTATGTTGCCTTCATATATAAATCTGTATATGTATAAAATATAATATACCTTGCACACAAACATTCGATCGATTCGGCTCACATTCGACGAAACACGTCCCGATCACTTTGAGACACCGTAACATACTCCCGCTTTACCATATCAGGCTTCTAAATCACAAGTGAATGAGTATTTCTGCACAAATTGTTATCACGGGCCAAAAAGTTATATAAAATTATAAATTATATTCATCGCGATATGGAGGACAAAAATTCAGTAGAAGTTTACTTGTAGGATATAAATATAACTTTTTAAAATTGTTATATCTCTTAAAGATAGAAGATTAATTAATGAATATTGCTGATTAAATTAATAATTACAATTTAAAATTAAACATTAGATCTGCGTATTTTATTCAGGTCAGCATTTTATCGAATTACTTTAGTGATATTTCAAAAATGTGCCTACCTGAACACACGAAATATGTTACGTCTAGATAATATTCCCTATATTTACTAATATTATAAACATATAAGAAATTGTATATATAATAATACCATAATCATGACTCACTTTTGACATTGCAAGCTTGGAGTAAAGATAATGTTGCCATGACATTTCATCTGCTGGACCAATCTTATCAGGGAAAGCGAGCTGTATCTTGGCAAAATTCCATTATGTCAGTCTCCGGCAGTTTCTGAAATACAGTCGCAAGTAGTTTATTTTATCACAAGAATTAAAATGTCCCCTGCACATGTCAAGAATTTGAGAAATACAAATTAAAAATGAAAACAAAAACTGACGAGAAAATGCATAGCCACTAGAGTTTCTGGCATGCTGTCACAAGGCTTACGTAAGAGCATATTCACATTAATCGCATTGCTGTCAATCTTCATTCTAATTACAATCATCCCCCCTTCCCCCCAAAACCCCAATTTACAGATCCGCAATGAGCTGATAAGCAGTTAATGCGCTACGCAAACCACGTGACCAGAAATCGAG